CACAAATTAGGTAAAGAATATAAAAACTTATTCAAAATTTCAAACAGCAATATTTTATCTTAATTCTCCGATTTCTAAAAGCCAAAATAGTAAAATTAATTTTCATCAAAAAAACCACTCCGCAGTTTAAGCGCGACGGCCGGAGTCGCGATGCATTGGAAAATACCAAAGTGACCAAAACTCATAGAGAAGCTCATAAATAATCATTACAAGCAGGTCCGAATGATTTTATTGCAGTCCGAGAGGCCCTACAAAATTTCGACAGAAGCTAATAATTATCACAGGCCAAAGCCATCATAAAATAGTAAAAGCTGAATTTCTGCATTGGTATCATGTAAATTGTAAAAGATGCTAATCGCACACCTAAAATATAATGTTTACAAAGTCAATTAAACAAATAGTAATTAATATTAAAGTAAAATATTTAAGACAAAATAATAATATAATTTCAGGCACTGTTTCCACAAGTGACTAAGCTACCGCCAGATTTATTTATACGAGACTTAAAATTGTAAAATTGGAGTTTGGTACACCGTGTAGACCATTCAGATAGACAGACCGCATCGGAGCTCTCACCATATCGGGAGCTTTCAATGTGGGGCAGCTTTTGTTCTTATTGCGCGTTTGAAAAAACACGACATCATGCTAACATCGCAATCGATGACGACACAACCCCTATGAATATAAAATATCAGACAAGTTAAGACAATTATTCTCCTAGCATCTACGCGAGGACGTTGTAATAGTAAAATCATTTTCAAAGTATAAATTTTTAACTTTTGCATTAACATAGACTTGATGTCCCTTCGGGAACGATAAATAATTAATCTAAAACCGGTTGTGAACCCCATTAATAAACACCAACTGATCTACAGCCCTCAAAACAATATTTTCGTTGGCCGCTTCACAGGTAAATAGATCTCCACGGGCCCCAGAAGTCTTAAGATAGGCATTAAGAAATTTCTCCACGCGCCAGGCTGGGTTATTTTTTGGTAATCAAGACACGAAGACGGCGTCCACCACCTATAAAATATTTTTACAACATCCATCGCAGAAAACCAAAAGCACTTCTTCGACAGCTTTTATCATATGTAGATTTTGGCTTGAGGTGTCTTCCATCATCAGGTTTTATTGTAAAACTCTACGTTGTTTTTTATTTATTAAAGTTAGAAAACCACAAGCAGGCTCCTACGGACGTAGGCTGTCTACTAATAAAAAATTAAACGTTTTTGTAAAAGAATATCATCGTCTGAGATCTCCGAGGACAGGTAACTGACTTGCATACTTAGAAACTTGGAATTGTTTTTCAAAATTAATTTTTCGCGAGGCTAGGCTTATAAGAAAATTCTCGAACCTCATTTTATATAAAAAATTTAACTTGTTTTAAAATCGAGGCTTCACTCGACTTAAAATTCATTTATTCAACAAAAATTGGTTAGTTCTAAGTTTCCCGGGTGTTTACTAGGCTGCCATAAAGGTTTCAGAATTTATTGAAATTTTTTTTAGTTTTAAGAATCGAGAGCCAAAATTTTACAAAAAATAAATTTCATCAAAACATTTTGTTAGTCCACCAGGGCATAGAAAAAATTCATATTTAAATTTTTAATAACTTTCGACTTAATTTTTTAAATTTATTTTCATTTTAATAAAATCACATTAAGCATTAAAATATACACTGCTCAAACAATTTTTTTTTTTGAATCCGACTTGGAAAATTTTTAATAAAAAATTTTTTGGTTCTACAAATCGATCATTATTAAGAAAAGTTGTAAAGTCTTGCGCGACCTTTTGGGCAGGCTAATAGTATCCGAGTTGTAGGTCAACTTGCTGTCCAGTCTGCTGAATTTCAACAATTTTGTCAAGAATTTTTTGAAAGTGTTTTGTGATTGTGAATTTTACGTTCATCTAAAGGATCCACTGTCCAATTTTATTTTTGGTCTTCACGACTTGGACGTTACACTTTCACAAATCACCTGATCTCACGAGTAAAATTCAATTTTGTAAGGAACCCTCTGTTCAAATTATTTTTGGCCTTCAGCGACTTCGAAAAAATAAATTTCATAATTCAAAAAGCACTCATAGGGAACCAAAAAGACATTTTTGCATAAAAGCTGACTAAAAAATATTTTTAATGTTTCATGAAGTCATTTTCAGGCTAAGAAAAAGCCAAATTGCCAAGGATCCCCTGTGCAAATTTTTTTTAGCCCTAAACAATAAACAAAAAGCATAAGCCGCTTGATTAAATCCTTCAGCTACGCAATCTGAGGTAGAAACATGTCTGTCAAGCCAGAACCGCCGAAGAGGTGTTGCTGAAGTCTTAATCAGCTTTGCTAGCATAGCCAAAGACACAGAAATGTCAACGAGACTCAGAACAGGCTACCTTACCTCTCCGTATAATAAAAAACGACCTTGAGAAAATTCTATTCCTACGATCAAATACCAAGGCAATAAAACTAACATTATTTTTCGTGGCAACTTAATAAAAGAACAATAACCCAGCTAGGGACAATTCAAATCACAAGTCTTGAAAAACAAACAAAAATACCTTGTATTTATGACAGAATCTCGACGACCCCGTCTCGTCCTCTAGCGGTTTGTGTATACGTATACACAGAAGGTATGCGATCTTAGACGAGGGTTGTGTAGGTGTTACATCATCCTTCGGAGGGGTTATAAAGCACTTCCTTGTCTATTAGATGTTAGGAAAGTAAAAACTAGCCACCGAGCTGACAAGACATTTTTTGGATGAAAAACACATTTTTCAAAACAACCCTGATTAATCCTTTTACTACAGATGTTTATTTAACAATTTTTTTAAATAATTTTTAGAACAGTGACTTAATACCCAAAAAAAATACGAAAAAATATCTTCCTTTCGATGAAAATGATATTTTATCATATTCCGGATAGCCCTGTTTCTTTTAATATATGTCTACTAGTCGCGAAAAATTCCTAGCCTACGATCATGCCTAATAGCGAGGATTGCAAAGAACAAGTAATATATTTAGTTAATCCAAAAGTAAACATTCTGAATAACAGCAGCAAAGATAAATAATGGTTTATGAAATATGGAAGATAAAGAATATAAATTGCCCGTATAGTTTTCTTATACGTAAACGATATAACTTCAGCTCAAACAAGTTTAACTACAGCAATTTTAATTTTCTAGTCGAAATGAATTATGCTGTAGATGGTAATATGGAAAATCTATTTACAACTTTTTTATTATTTTCATTGTAATCGCGGGCCGCTGAAAATATATAACTTTAGTTACGAGAATAGCATGGGTGTAAAATTACTTTTTTGATTAAGGGCATTGTTATCTAGCATAAAATTTAACAAAATAAGAAAATCAATCCGAATAGTTATAAACCGATTGCCATGCTCTTCATATTTTTGAAATTATTGCAAGGCATTATCAATATACAACCATCTCAAATAGGTAGCTGTCATGATGTTATCTTCAAAAACCTTTAGGAGATAGAATACCTCCAAGGTGATATGTCTACAAAATGCCCCAGCCGAAACATTTGAAAGAGTTTCAAATGATAATTTATATACATTGTGTTCATTTGAAAACTGTCCCTCCTCTTTTTCTTCAAAATTCGCCGGGACATGCCATTCTGAGAAAGTTTATCATTATCGCGCTCTATCCCGGCTAAAAAATGTATGTACGAGAAAAGACAGGCGAGTTATTTGTTTTTTTTGCATACCGTGAAACATTGAAGGTCTTGTACGAGTCTTTTCTTGGTCGTGTCATCACTCGGTTTGGTCACCAGAATTGGCTGCCATGCTCTTGCGATTTAACACCTTTGGACATCTTGCTGTGGGGTTATCTGAAGTCACAGGTTTATGCCAACAAGCACGCGACCACCGAAGCATTGAAGACCGAAATTAGACATTATATCAACGAAATACTGCCACATGTATCCAACACCGTTATTAAAAATGTCGCCAAAAGGGTACGCATGTGCCAGCAAAGTTTACATTTCAAATTCTCATAAAACTATACTTCGCAAATCTCGCTCCTTATTTGTTATTTTGTGCTTAAAATCTCTATGAGCTATAGGCAACCAATAATACCTTAGTCTCTGTATTCTACTGCGCAAGGCGCTATCGTCACCCTTCCGGTATTTTGTATTTTGTCGTTCATTGGTGGAATACGCCATCTACCAGATCATGATGGACAATTTCCATAAGACTGATCTACGGTCATCCGAAAGGGATATCTGTGAGTCTGCGTGCGAGGTCTGGATCGTTCTGCACGTCAGAGACGCGGTTTGTCATTATTTCGTACGCGTGAAACTGAAGAGCCTACGTACCTACGTGAGCACCATGTGAATTCCAAGTCCAGATAAAAGGGGACGAGAAAGAGTTTTGAGGAGTACCGTTATGTGCCGCTGGTAGCTGATAACTATATATTTGTTTTGATTTTTATGGTATGAGAATATCAACCGCATTTTATTTAGTTTAAGTTTGATAACGATAACTTTAACCTTGTGTATCACCAAGTAAATGCGCTGTAAACCTGCAGTGTGGCCACAGTCAGGGTATTGACCTTGTCTTAATCTCTGTTATACACTCTGTGAATAAGAGTTGTGTGCTTAAAACTATAATTAGTATTTGAGGCACAGTTATCATAATGTAATGTAAATAGTTTTTATATGTGTTATTCTCCTTGATGAAATTTGTGCGAATATAGCATGTTTCATGGCTGTTGAATTTGATATTTTATTTTAAAGCACCACCTTATAACAAGAACGAATAATTCAGGATAAGTTAAAGTTTAAGTAGAGTAATTAATTAACTGTATTGAAATTAAGATAAACTGAGTATAAACGCCTTGAGTTCTGAGCTAGTTAGTTTATTTTGTCGTGACACTCATTAACTTATCCGGGTTAAGTAATGTCTCGGCTTGCTACATCTCCACGCCCAGTAGTTTTGTGATCACACACGTACCCTCCAAGGTAGGGAATTGAGGATAAGAAATGCATCAATGGCGCCCAACGTGGGGTCCGAACCCACGACCATGAGAATAAAAGTCGCTCTACCTACTGAGCTAGTTGGGCTTTTTGACACTGGATTAAAATTACATATTATAAAATGTTTGTGGAAAAAATATTATATGAAGTACGATGCGCAACCGATGTGTTTTTTACACTAGACGTGTTGTCTAACTGGGCGCCGCCTCGCAGGACAATTTTCATGTCACGTGGTTACAGACACATCCTTTTCGCAACTTATTGCATAAATAGCTATTAAAGAGTCAGCAAAAATAAAATTACTAACGACGTTAAATGCTTCTATAAGTAGAAAATATATCATTTTGCAAATCTCATCGAGTCAAAGCAAGTTGCAGAATGAACTGGACTATATAACATTGGAAGACAGTCAAACGTTACTGGCTGAAATGGTTTTCACCAGTGACCACTGCACACAGCGAAGGCTGCTTAAATGATGATCCTTTTTATATCAAAGGGATCAAAAGATCAGAAACTTTTATGATTCTTATTGCAGCCGTAGTAGCGCAGCGTAGGAAAACTAAGAGGCAGTTCATTTTAACTTGAAAATAACTATAACGAGAAATTTAATTTTAACTTAGACGATCTCTAAAAGGTTTTCACGAGTGTTAGGATTAATAAGTAGTTAGAATTACAGTCACGTAGTTTTCCGAACTTCCTTCCTGTGACAATTTTATTAGAAGAAATTCTATCTGGTGCTTTTACTCTACGGCGTAATTAATGTAAGGTTTTGGTTTCATTTACTATCGTCTCCTTTCTTTACTTTTTTTACAGAGAATTTTCACTCTCGTTTAATTACATTCCACATTTCAGTGATAAAATATGTTCTCGTTTATTTTTGAAAAAATGTAACCATTCATAACTTAGGGAACTTCGCCATGTCGCATATTTAACAATCCGTCCAACAAATTATAACTTTTTCTCATCATTTATGTTAGATGAGATACTTTTTACAAACTGAAAATAAGTAAATTCACATCCGCAATCGCGATTTCACATGAAAATTATGATTGAAATGGAATTCTTTCATGTTTCATACACATTTCATTTATAATATTCGTTAAAATAAAATTTTGCTGTTATGATTAGGGCTGTCAAAAAATGTTCCGTGGGACCGTCGCGTACGCGAAATTAACTAATACGTGAAACAATAAACTGTTACAATTTATAACAATGTATGTAAAACTTACCCTCTTAACTAGCTTGATGAAGTAGCTTGCTTATCACAAACTGGATATGTGTAGCGATTTTGCAATATCAGGTATGTTTCTATGGTTGTCTCCATGAGTGATGTTCGCTTTGGTGAAAATATATTCTTATATTTTGAAAACGACCGTTCAACATCTACTGATGTAATACACGCATACGTAAAATAGTCTTTGAACGCACTTAACGGATCTGGGGCTGCACCGTCACATTTGTCTTAATTTGGTAAAACCGGTGTCTTTATTTGACACATTTGCGAACTTTTCTTTAACGCGCTCATTTGTTGCGTCACCTATATCGTGTAGCAGTAGATTAACTTTGCCCACTGTTTGCAGTGACTCCGCTAACGACAACGCACTGTTTTCTAATTTTTGTATGCTTTCCTGTAATGGTTTATAGTTCTTCGCAATATTTTTTAAAGCTGTTTCAACAGAAATATCTTCGAATTTTGTCTGACTTTCCTTAATAGCTGCAGCCTCATCTAGATTGAATTGTAAGTAGCACAGCTATTATTCGTTGGAAATATTCAGCATAATAAAAAGCTGCCTGCAACCATGTTCCCCAATGTGTAAAACTCGGCTGTGGTGGTTCAGGAATACCGGGACACTTGCTATGAAATGCACGGAGACGTTTAGGAGATTTAAGAAACATTTTTTTTTACCTGCTATTAATCCATCCACCTCTGGGAAACCTTTTCGAATAGTTTCTGCCACAAGATGTAGTTCTACCGAACGCATTGTCACGGCGCCTCAGTCACAAACATCAACATTTGTTTTTTGACAGTTCAAATTTTTCTAACTTATCCAGCACCACCCTGGTAATTTTTCGCTAGTACACTGACTTAGTCTTTTGCTATCTAGTAATAGTGGAACTGTCGGTTCAAGAGGGTCCAGTACTCGTACTATAACATTTAAAATTAATTTTATAATATGTTGTCTCATCTACAGATAACCACAGCAGTGTATTTTTTAATTCACATTTCATCTTATTTACCATGTCTACGTGTACAGTTGGTAGATAGTTATATAACGTTGTGCGACTTGGTAACTTCACCTGGGCATTGTATTTATTCCAGAACTCTCGAAATGGTTGTTTATCGAGTATGTGCAGCAGAACATCACAGGCAATCAGCATAAATAGTAAATCAAACATTAACTGTGTTGTCGAAGGCACGCCATTTTTTTATTTTTATGGTGTACACTATTTACGTGAAGTCCACAATCACGCTTATCCCAGCACATCAAATCTTTCTCGCACACTTTACAAATTATTTTAGCACCATCATAGAATAAATCCGGGAATTCACCTATGAATTTTTTCACTTTATCATCAAATGGACGTTTTTTACCCCTGCGTACGTCTGCCATGCTTTATTATTAAATTAATATCAACAATACAGTACAACAAATAAAATAAAAACACAAAAACAATATGCAATACGCCCAAGTAACTTAACGTGTACACTACTCGAAAGCTAATAATAGACTGGACCGGAGAAAGAGTTTCGCGGTCAAAGTGAATGCCGGCGACAATAAGTACATCTGTACTCTACGACCATGATACACAGAAACGATTTGCAGCTTTAGTTATGATCTTATATGTGCCATCTGAAGTGTCCCTGCCTATCTACCAGCAACATTCAACATCGTACAATGTCACTTCGAACCGCTCTTTCATAAGAGCTTTTTGGCTTTCAGCCAAGGACTATACACGCAGCCGCAATTTAATTAATGCATAAAAACAAATACAAAAAAAAATATTATTAACCACTGTTATTTATGGTCAAATTATTTATTCACCCTATTCCTGTTTATAGCCTAAATTTTACAGAAAGAAAGAAAATAAATTTCAGGAAGAAAACGAAGAGGCGTGTGCTTTGGTCCTGAGGTCTGTCAGGGCATTTTAAAACAAACAAAACAAAGAGGACCACGGTTGGTAGTAAAAAGTAGTATGAGGACATGTGGAAACAAATATAAACTACAGCTTCATTTTAGTTTCTTGTAAGAAGTCTTGTAACTTGTGCGTCAGAACATAACATGTGTAGTGATCAGTGAAGCATATATCCAATAACCATACAATTTCGAAACATTATTGTAGTTTATTCACAGAAGTAGTGTATACAGAATGTCTCTGAAAGGTCTGTGCAAGAATATACAGAATATCTCTGAAGCGTCGCACGAGTGAAGGGGAATACAGACGTTTTATCGTACAAGGATGCTTTGTGTCAGCAACTATTGATTATGGACGTCCCGTCGGTTTACGATTAGGACTCTTAAGCGTGAAAACAGATTTTGGAAAAACTTGCGGAATACCCAAAATTAAGCACTTGATGCTGAGGAGTTGAAGCAGAAGTGTCTAATGATAGGGTTCGTAGTATTATAAAAGAACAACTATTTTATCCATATCATAATCAAACTGGGCAAGATCTTTTACCTTTGGATCCAGATATTTCATGAGATTTTTTTACACGGTCGATAACAAAAATGCAAAATTTGTTATATATTTTTTACCGTACGATACGCTAGCTTCGCCAAATTTTATACAAAAACCTATATAGTGTTGTGAACTGACCAAAAACCTGATTAAATCAAAGTGAAACCTGATTATATCAAAATGTACAATACCCTAAACTTAGAAATACAAGTACTACAGATAATTCAGATCGCAGTATATCAGAACTAAACTATAGTAAAGGTGGTGGCGTAATACTTTAGATATACACCCTTTCCAATATGAACTTGAAGACAGTAGTAGGTCATTACTGTTGTTATGTGTTTATTATGTATATTTTAACTAATACACCACACACCAATCAGATTATTGAGTTCAGTAATTCATATTGTTTGTTCTTTAAACTAATAGTTTAAATTGTACACAAATATGACTTCATTGTACTAGATTATTGTGCTGATACGAGTTGAATAAAAGATATTTATCGACTATAAAAACAGTATGAAATTTGTAAAACTATTATGATATCAAACACATTCTAACACATAATACAATAAAAATTTTATGAATATATAACTTAAATTGTTTCCAGTTTACCAATTATAAATGTTTTATACACCACGAAGTATTATATCTTTGATAATATATTTTTTAAAACCAGAACAAATATGTAACATATTGATAGAATATATTGGCCAGACTGGACGAAAAATTAAAAAGCGACTTGAAGAGCATAAAAAGTCTATTGTAAACAACGTATATAGCACCGGCATGTCAACACACTGTATAGAAAACAATCACTTTATAAATATGGATAATCTAGAATTACTTCATTCCGAAAAGAAAAGCAAAAAATTAGACTTACTAGAAACATTAGAAATTAAGAAAGCTTCCAAAAATAAAAAAAAACGGTTACAAATGAACAACAAATATTCGCAGGTCACCACATTTTAGATAAAGTAATTTAACTTTTCTAAAAAATTCCACATCTTTCAAGCCATTTTAACACGCTTTTATTAGCTGCACCTGTATGTTTGTTTGTTTGTAACCGACTCTTTGGACTCGATTTTGACCCACTTTAAACGGACACATTTAATTGAAACTTTGTACACTTACGAAGAACCGGTAACAATACAATAATTTGATAAGTTTATATCATTATCCTGATCAGGATCGCCAGTCCTTTCCTCACGTATCCTCTGCGTGAGAGCAAGAGGCTTAATATTGTAAGTATATTCCGTGATTCTCAGTTCGGTCGTTGGCCGAGCGGGAAAGTCTTAGTCGACGCGAAACGTCGGACTCATCGGACGTGAGTTCAAATCCCATGGCTGAAATAAAAATTTTTTTTTTTTTTTCAGAAATATCTGTTGGATCCTAATATGTTATAATAT